TGGTGCCACTTCTTCCCCTCACCTCCACCACCTCTGGAAATATGTAAAAAGTTAAGTGGTTATCACAGTCAAAAGGTTTAAAAAATCTAATTCAAGTTCTTTAAAAAGAATTGGATGACCATTTTCATAACAGAACATCTTAAGTAATGTTCACAACAAGAGTATTTAAGCCAAAGAATTCTGAACAAGTACACTGAAACATACCTAACATCAGCATAAGCAATAATCCATCCACGATCCAGAAGGCTTTTTAATTCACTGCACCACCGTTTATCAAGTATTTCACCATAAGCTCCATGACCATGAAGCAACCCAGGGCTTTGATTTTGTAGTTTATTTTTGCGTGAGTACACAATAGTTAGGGGAACAGCAACTCCGTCATTAGAAGGAACATCATAATGTTCACAAGCATAAAACTCCGAGAGGTCATTCCACAAGTTTTCATCTTCAGATTTGACATTGCTCATAGAGTTAGAAGTTTTCATATTTTTAGACTTTTCAATAATGCTTGATATTGGGACTGTCCCATATAAAACTCGAGTTCTTTCTTGAAGCAGATTCTGCTGCTGAATGATGTTCCACTTGCCATTTGATAAATCATAGTCAACCACAGCATCAGGCATCTAAAGAAAATATTGAAGAGGAGTTATCTGGAGATGCGTAGTGTTTTGAGTAACAGATGAAAACACAGATATAAAACAATTACATTCAGAACAAGAAGCCCAAAATTGCTGACAGAAAATACAGTGTATCCTGTAACACACAGATCAGAGACATTTATTACAGCATAAAGCATCCCCCCTCTATCAAAGCCTCCAACAACATGTAACCAATATTCAAATAGACAAAACTGCTACCCATATCCAAGAGTCATAAAAGATATAATGACATACTGCTTAAGGTGCAGAGCAGAAACAACATTCATACGGTAATCACTGGCATACCACTGGAGATGATATCGTAAATCGCATGGTTGAGGAGTAGAAGTCATAATTTGGTCCAGGTGCAATTTTACAAACATATTTTGGGAGAGGAAGGAAATGATGATGAAGCTCTCTCAGACCAACTGCTCCCTGAAGTTGAGTCAAAATTAACCTATGCCCAGAAAGTGGAAAAGGGAGAGGAAAAACAATAGCACATGAGCATGATGACCACACACAAGCAAGACTTGTTCTCTGTTCTTACCCTCCCAACAGGCAATGGCAGAGCAACAGAGCAGATTCCAAATTTTCGACCTTCCCTTGTGATAATTGCTAGGTGTGAGTTGCTGAAATCAACATCCTCTATTATCAAGTCTTGATCATCTACAAATACACACTGCAGCAAACATACCAGTCAAAAAAGGAAAAAAGAAAGGAAGGTTGATGTGCTACAAAGACTTCACTGGCCTTGTGATGATATAGAAGAGATTCACAACATTAGATATAGCCAAATATAAAATTTTACATACAAGATAAAATTTACTAGACAGAGAAATACATTTTAATCAACCAACCTCCCAGATTCTTGGATTGGAAGAAGCAACAACAGGACTGCAAAGAAGATAATGGCTATCAACCAATTGTCCATCCTTTGCTGCATCTGTAAATAGATAGAGGTATCCTTGATGATGTTCAACTATACAGTGAGAGATACCTTCACACTCCCAAACTAATGTCATGCCAGACAAAGGATCAGCTGCATTTATCAGAAAGACCTAAAAGATGGTCAAGTTGGTTATTTTTTTAAATCAAAGTCATATTGTCAGACAATCTAAAGCAGATAGGAGTCTTTTTGCTTCTGAGGTAATACCTTTGAAGAAGTAGGCGAAAATGCATTTACAGTCACAAACTGGAAATCCTTTGTGTTTCTTATGTTCAAGTACACATTTTCATCTTGTTCTTCATGAAGCAAGACATCTTCATTAGTTGACCCAATCATGCTACAGTATATTCTAAACATGAAAAAAATTGCGAAAACATTTTTAAGTCCACTTGGCAACTGAAAGAACAAGTAGATGAGACAATGAATTCAACATAAAATGGAAAAACTGTCACCTATAAGGTCTCTTTTTTTGATTAGTAACAACATAAATCAGTGACTGCCCATTCTTGGCCCATGCCAAATTTGAAACACGATCAGCTTGAGGCTTGCTGCACAATGCACCAGAATTCAAGTTCCTAACTGATAACTTGAAGTGGTCATTGTCCTTATCGTACATGGTGTATGCAAGAAACTTATGATCTGGTGATATCTCCGACAACTCTTCATATGCATAGCCTTCACACAAATCGAGATGGTAAATTCATTAGCTATACCAAAAAGGCGGACGCAAACAAGGGCAATGCTCCATCCAATTGAAGGCACTGGATGCATATCAAAGAAAATTTTTTGGAACTGTAATCCCATGTCATCAGTTACAAATTCCCAAAAGATGCTCCCTTTCCTTTTGCAAACATTTCCTAATCACTATCCTTCAGTTCCTGCTCCTCCGCCATTTTTTTTAAAGGCTTAAGAAAAGTGTTGATAAACTGTTTTAGACAGGATATAGTTTTAAGTGTTTTCCCGCCTCTTTTTTTTTTTTTTAATCTCTTTTTTAGTATCAAAGTAGCGCATTAAAACAGATAATGAAAAACTTAGATTAAAAGGGCAGGTGCATTACCTCCAAACCTCTCAGCTTCTTGATTGTAATCAAGCAGCTTTTGCTCAATCCGCTTCCCCGACGTAAAATCAAAACCGGCATCTGGAGACTTATGCGAAATGAACTCCTCATTCAAACTCGCCAATCTCCGGCATAGCACTGGATACTGCTTCCCCTCTTCTACTCTTCTATAATACAACCTACGAGTGAAAATTACGACAACCTGTGAGCTCACTAAGAATTCTATGACGAACCAACTTTGATTTTAATTAGGAAAAGAAAGGGAAAGGTGTAAAACCAGGGGCCCCAGCGTAGGGGAGGGGTGGTAAGGTCAAAGTTCAAGCGAGAGGCCATCTCGGACTGTAACTTGGCTTGGAGGCGATCGGTGTCTGAAAGGACAGCTTCTGTGTACTTCTCTTCCTGCTCCATGTACATATCCATGTGGCGCATAGCGACCTTGTCGTGAAGGGAGGACATCCATGAGTAGGGATCCTCCCAGGTAACGTCGTGGAAGGTGAAAGACTGAGGCTTTTTGGGGGGTTTCGGCGGAGTTGGTGGGGCGGGTGGCTTTGGGCGTTTTGCGGCCGTGTAGTGGGCTAACCGGTTGTGGTGGTGGAGCGCGGTGGTGGTGCGGTGGCGGAGGATAGATCGGACGTGTTGCATCGTCTTGTGGGGTTCAGAGAAAGGTTTCTGGGGTTTAAGGTTAACCATTAACGAGGGTAACGGCCGTTATGTTTTGACAATTGGGCTTTCTTAGATCTGCATACGAGCAAACCAGAGCCGGGTCGTAATGTTTCGGGCTTTATTAGCCGACGGGTTTTAACTCAGCAATTTTTTTTTTTTTTTTTGTATTTATTTTGCTTTTTTTGGCCGTATATTTATTTTGCTTAGTAATAACTTTTTTAAAGTGTTGTATGCATAAAATATTTTTTATTTAAAAAATTATGAAATTACCCTTTTATTTTCTGAAATTGTGAAAATTTTAAATTATCAAATTATATAAAATTTATAATGAAATTGCATATTTAATTTTTTTTTTAACAGTCATGAAAACAAGAGATGAATAATTATTTATCTAATTAAATTAAGGCTTTAGTTGCAAAGTCAGACACATCATAAAAATTTAGGGCATCATTGACCAAATTAAATAATGAAGCGCTTTTACCGATAATAGTTTAATTGATTTAGTATTTATTAATTAAAAATCTTAATTTAATATTAAAATCATAAATTTAAATTTATATAATAATAAGCTGCCAATATTCTAATATATAAAAAAAGTGAAGTGAAGAACAAGGTGAAACTTTGTTTTTGTGATTAAATATGAAAAAGCTAAAAAGTATGAGGACTAAAACTGAAAATTTTCCTCTAAATCTACCATTGCGATTTTTTCCCTTGCTGATTGACGTAGCTACATAGGATCATATCTATTGAATAAATCTTTTGTGTCAGAGAACTTAAGATTGAGTACTCTCTCTTGGTCTTTGACTGAAGCCCATTCAATCCTTCCTCACCCCCTGCAGGGTACTTCACTTGTCTTGAGAGTCTTTTCTGTGTCTAATTAAGCAAGAAGAAAGGTTGGCTGCTAGTGGAATTCTTCAACTTGGCCAAATGAAATCAAACCCAAAACCACCTTCCTTCTTTAAAGTTATGTTCAATGGTTTCACTGAGACCATGGTAAGCTCATTATTACTCTGTTAATTAAGTCTGTTTTCTTCAGCATTCAATGCTTTGAAGAACAGATAATTATAATGTCACTGACTCGGTGCTAACAAATCTTATCTTTTGGCAGAGAATTCCACCGGCATTTATGGAGAATTTTGAAGGGGGCGTGCCCCTCATCTTCAAACTGATATGTGCTGATTCTAGGAAGTCATGGTTTGTAGCAACGGAAGGGAAGGAAGAAGGCTGCTTTTTTGGCTCCGGATGGTCCAAATTTGCTGTAGAGCAAAACTTGGAATTGAAGGATTTTCTAGTTTTTAAGTTAGTGGGTACCTCCACTTTTGAAGTGGAGATATATGGCCGAACCGCCTGTAAAAAGAACACTACTCTTGCTGCTAAGAGGCATGATGATGGAGTCCATTCTCCGGCAGAGAGAGCAAGAGAAGTGAAACCCATAAAACAACACACTGCAAAACGCAAGAAACCAAAAGGTGCTGGTAGAATGGCTTGTGAGTTAACTGTATCTCAAGTGCATCTATGCATTTAGCATTGTTTTTTGTCTCCTAATTTGGTCAATGCGCCTCAGGTGCTGCTGTTAAAAGGGCAAGAATACTTCCCAAGAAGGTGGAGATGGATGCAGGACCTAAGGAATCTTCATTTCAGTTAGTATTGAAGCACTACCACAAATCCTACATTGTAAGAATCACTTAGATCATTTTCTTTCTTAAATATATCTGGTCATTATCTCACCGTCATTGTTTAGAAAAAAATTCTAAGGATTCATCACTTGTATCTCAATTTAATCTGGGAAACTGGATTTCAGACTGTTCCAAAGAAAATTGCTCGAGAAACAGGGCTGAGGTACAAGGCAAAGACAGTGATTAAGAACTCGGAGGGGATAACCTGGGGTGTTGACATTAGTGTTTGGAAATCAGGACAGATTTGTTTGAGTACAGGATGGTCTGATTTTTGGGCAGCCAATGGACTGGATGTTGGCACTACTATTTTGCTGCTATTCAGTGGGGGTTCAGGTAATGAAATTGACGTTCAGATCCTCAACAGAAGAGATGGGAATAATAGTGGATCAGCTGGAGAAATCATCTCAACATCAATTGAAAGGGCAAGAAAATTTCCCAAGAAAATGCAGATGGATGAAGAACCTGGGGACTCCTCTTCAGTTCAATTCGTTTTGAAGGACTACCAGAGATACAATATTGTAAGAATCACTTAGATCAGTTTCTTTCTTAAATATGATCTTGGCATCATCATGGTTTAGAAAATTAAATTCCAACGCATTCATCACTTGTGACTTGAAACTCCATTTATTTTGTGAAACTGGATTTCAGTTTCTCCCGAGGAGATTTGCTCAAAACACGGGGTTGCGATGGAGGACAATGGCAGTGATTAAGGATCCGAAAGGGAAGGCCTGGGACGTAAGGATTAGTACTCTTCTTGCGAAAAAAACACGTCAGACTTTTTTGAGCACAGGATGGTCTGATTTTTGGGCAGCCAATGGATTAGAAGCGGGCACTACTATTTTGCTGCAATTCAGTGGTGGCTCAGGCAACGAAATTGACGTGCAGATTCTCAACAGAGGAGATGGGAAGAGCTGAGTTAGAGAAAGCATCTCAACACCAATTAAACCGGAATTCTAATCTTTCTGTTTCTGCCTGTATGTTCCTAGGAAATGGGTTTGTGAATGTGAAATTGCATAGTGCCCTAATCTTTTTGTGTATGACAATGTGAAAAACCTATATAATCTTGCAGATCCCATTTCTGTCTCTTTCTTGTAATCCTGTAAATTGAGAAGTAGACAAGTGTGTGCTCTGAATGGAAAATCCAATAACTAAAGGAAATAATCCGTAACTGTACAGAAACTGTAAGATAAAAACTATCTATCAAATTAAGGGATAATATCGATCTCATGGTTCAGCACCAGGCTGCACTGACTTACTTTCAAAGATTATAACTTATCAAGAGTGAGGTTGGTTCTAAAACAATGGAATACTTGTAGAAAGAAAGAAAGAAAATCCAATTATTTAGAATATTGGACAAGGATGGATTTTTTTTTAATAAATATATTATAATTACTTACAGATTAATTAAAAAAAAAAAAATTTTGTGAAGTTAGAATGTATATGAATAATCTTAACTCGGAATTCAGGATCTAAGGTGACTGGATGAAACGATCCGTTAGGACAAGGAAGGACTTGAATTTGACTAACAAAGAAAAAGTTTTTCAATAACTGCTCCGTTTGACCCTATCTACATAATTGAATCTATGTCAGACTCAGATACATCATTCTGATGGATTTTTGGATGAATAAAATTAAAGAACAAGTACTAGATTATGAAAAAGACATTAATGGAAAAAATAGGTCTGGATTATCGTTTTGCCAGTCTTTCTCTCATTCATTCCTTTGTCATTTCTCATACAAGAGCAGCATACAAAAAAGGGTCGACTATTATGGTGCGATAACCACAATTCCATTAAGAAGTATGATAGTATTTAAAAATATAAGATTTAAATTTCGACTATCCCATTTTTTATTACCAATTATACTAGTTAAAAAAAAATTAGAATGACATAATATATCCCTTCAACAGTGCAAAGAATTACATTTAATGACATTTCTGCTTCGGTTTACTTCCACTTTCATTTTGTAGTTTAAGCATCAAATCTCAATCCCAAGTAACTATTAAAGACGAGTACACCTACCCCATTAATTAAGGAGAGTTACAATGCAACCCTAAATTATGACTCCCTATTTCTTGAGATGTCTAAGTGATAAGAGAACTTGTTGGATGTAGGAGTTGGATTCTTCAAACTTTTGCAAATGAATCCAAAACCAAAATCATTTGGTATGGTTCTGGTCGGTGATTTCCCCGAGTCTCTGGTAAGCTTATTATTACTTTCTCTGTAATTTTCTTCTTCGGTATCGGTTTCTAAATTCTACTGTTTTTGCAGAGACTACCGGCGGAATTTATGAAGGATTTTGAAGTAAGTCTTCCACACATTTTCTACCTGATGTCTGATTTAGGCGAGTCTCAACTAGTGATCATGCAAGAGAAGGATAGAGGCTGCTTCTTCACCTTGGGATGGTCGGACTTCGTTAAAGATCAAAACTTGCAGTTCGGTGATTTGTTAATTTTCTATTTTGTTGGTAACTCTACATTTGAAGTTGCAATATACGATCGAACTACCTGCTGCAAAAAGAAAACAAGTCTTGAAGCCAAGAGGCATGGAGATACTGGAGATGGAGATCAGCTTGCAGCCAAAGCGAACCCCAAAGAAGAACCCAGCAAAAAACATAGAGTTTCTAAGAGAACGATTCGTGGTGAGGTTAAGAGGGCAAGAAATGGTCAGAAATGTTCAGCTCAAATTCTTCTGAAGAAATATCATTCATCTTCTATTGTAAGAATTACTCAGCTTAATTTCGTATATATAGTTAACCTCATCAATCATCTAGAAAAAGATTTAGTTCTTATCTCTCTTTTTTGGTTGTTGTTATTGTTGGATTTCAGGTTCTTCCTGCAGAATTTGCTAAAGAGGCAGGGTTGAGAAAGAAGAAAGGTACGGCGCTTAGGGATTCGGCAGGAAAGGAGTGGCCAGTTTCCATATCCTTTAACAAGGGAGCAGGGCAAGGGCAGACCCGATTTACCACTGGATGGAAAGATTTTTGGGCAGCGAACAGACTAGTTGCTGGTACTACCATTTCGTTGCAGTACAGTGGCGGCGCTGGTGATGCAATCGACGTTCAAATCCTAGGGCCTAGAGGAGGAGATTTGAGTGGCGGGACTGGACAAGGTCTCCAAAGACTAGTTAAACAGGAACTCTAATCCATCTACTTCCGCCCTCTGTTCTTGAACACCTTTTTGTGGGTCTACTAAGTATTGACTCTGTAAAAATTTAAGTTTTTTCGGGTAGGTTACTGCGAAGACTAAAATGTTTAATGTAATTTATGGAGTCCTATTTGTCTATCCTCTGTTTTTTTGTAAGGTTAAAGTGCAATTTCCAGATGTTATGGTAACCTGGTTAATTAGTTGTTATTATATGAAATTATGAATATTCAAATAACTTTAATATTTTTTTTCGGAAGCATTATCACAGATTTAGATATATATATATATATATTTAAAAAGTTTAAAATCAATTATTAAATTAAAAAGATAGTTGAAGGGTATTTTGTAATTTATTATTTTCTAAATGACAAAATACAACACTTATTTTAAGATACATGCAACAAACAATTTTTTTTTGTATATCTTTTTATTCACCTCACTCCCTCTTTAAAGCTAAAATTCAGAACCTAATATTCTCGTCGACCTTAGCACATAAGTAAGTAGCAACTCTTACCAATTTATTGAACTTTCTTAAATTTGAAAATCACCTACAACTTGTTTAATTTGATTAAAGGGAAAAGAAAAATTTTTAATCTAATCAAATTAAAATTTAATTCAATATCTTAATTTAATTACATAAAAATTTTCTCCTTTTTT